CTTCTTTTGGTTTCCCCTGAATTTGTTTATATTTTGTTTTTCAATCAGCCGCTTCTCGGAGCTGTGGCATCTATAGTAATGGAGTCCTAAGCAAGGTACTTCTTAATTTATGCCTTTATGAACAATATATGTAAACTGATTTTAGGTTAACATTGGTAGCTTGCTTAACTTGACAGCCTTTTTTAACTTTCGTTGATGGTTGTTAACTAACTTAAGGAGTTGCATTATCTCTTCCGTTGCTGCAACTCTAAGTTAGAAATGAACATGGATTGATTCAATCTAAGGTAACTATATTCCAAGTCCATTGTTCTTACAAGTACTGGATGTGAGTACGTGATTGACCAACTATCTATCTTTTCATTATTTTGTTACAGATGATGAAGAATATTAGGAGCAAGAATTAGATGCCAACCAAGGATGCATTCTTTGAGCACAAACACTAAATCGTTTCGAAGTTCTTTTTGTGTTTGGATCACGTTAGAAGACTATGTTGGAATGATGATGGTTCCCAGTCCAATGCTTGGATTTGGATTGTAGGATTATTATATTAGCTAATGTTTTGAATTTTTTATGTCATATTTGAACAGACCCATAAATTATTATGATTTTGTTTTGCCATTCAGGATGTATTTTGACAAACCATTTGTCTTAAAATGAAAAAGAAATGATAGAGACAAGTTGTCACAATTTCAAATCTACGAAATATATGACAAAATTAGTTTGTCAAAAGAACTTCTGACAAATAGAATTTGTCATTGATTATGAATTTTATGACAAAATTATCAGTAGTCACACATTACCATACACTTTTAATGACAAAACAGTATCGTCATAATTCAACAACTATGACAAAATATATTTGTCAGAAGTAAATTACACAAAATATTAATTATGACGATATTATATTATGACAAAATGTAGTTGTCATACAATGTTGAATTTGTCACAATAAGATACGTAGAACTTGGCATATTGTGACAAACACCTTTAACTAGTGACAAAGTTGCCATTTTACTATGACAAACAAGTTTATCATAATAGTATGTTTTCTCTGACAAAATTTGTTTGTCAGAGTATTGTTAACCATTTTATGACAAACAATGCAAAATTTTGTCACATTTAAGCTACGGCGACGGCGATATTACGACAAACGTTGTGACGCACATGGTTTGTCATACTATAGTTAAAATGACAAATTGTTGATGTAATATGACAAAATCCTTGTGTCATAATAGACCAAATTTGTTGTAGTGCTTGCACCAGCCATATAAGCGAGTTGCCATCTCGAGCATGATTTGCCTATGTACAAATAATACAATTAGAGTATGAAAATGAATTCAATGAAAAGGAAAAGAGAATTCTATCACATGCCAATAAATACACACATAATAGTTGAAGCTAAGTGAAAGTCATTACTCGCACATCAATTCTCAAAAATTACAGACTAAACATTGGCTAGAATGGCACTGAAACTACCAAGAATCATGGACGAAACAACTTGTCAAATTAAATAATCCTTATACTGAAACTACCTTCTAACTTGAAATAAGACATGATCACAGTTCATAGCTCTCTTCTCACTATGAATTGGTTGCAGCTCGTCCTTATCACTGCCTCTCAAGCTCAATTCAAACAGAATAGAGACCGTTATGTAAGATAACCATATTCTTACTGATCATAATTCCTTTCTTCACTCCATTTTTGTCAGAGAAAAGAGTTATCCCCCTCTCCTGCATTTCCCTTTCCCCCTCTCTTCTCCCTCTTCTTCACAAACCGATCCCTAAACCAGCAACAACAACACAAAAATAGCCTTCGCCTCTCCCGTCTCCATCTATTGAACGCATTGGTGGCAAGACAGGACTGCAGAAGCAAAATTTTCTAAAATCAAACTAAATTTTTTGAAGCATACTCAACCACGAAAAAAGAGTAAAGCAACAATGCAGTAGAACCCTAAATTTAACTACAATCAAGCACCTATCAGCAAGATTTTCGATTTGTCTGAGAGTTAACTACACGGAGAGAACAATTGATGCATAATTGAAATGCTCCAAGCAAGTTGAAGGCAAACCATAACTTTAGAATTTGATCATTATAATAACCTTCAAGTATTGATGCTTCTAAGAACTATCATGTCCAACCCCCACTTATACAACTACGTAGCCATAGTAATTAGTTGTATAATGAGAAATATTACAAAGAAAACTACATAAACAACCAATGTAAGTAAATATTAAAACTAACAACTGATAAAACTTAAAATCTCTCTATTGGTATAAATGTATCTATTAGTAACTACTATGCAATCGAGTATATATGATTTTTAGGCACTGAATAAGAAAAGTATAGATGGCTCACAAATGAAGACGTAGCAACTGAAGGTAGCACACAAAAACCAAAAATAGAAAAAGAGATAAGAAGAAAGGCGAGAAAAAGTCAACCAAAGAAAAAGCCCACATAGGAATATCTCGCTAGCTTTAGGGACTCTCTGCCACAACAAACAACCTTCTTAAAAATCTAACACCCTGAGACATCAAACAAACCTCCCACGACACTAATGTATGGCATTCCTATTGTCCAATAGGTTTGCCCAATTTAGACTTCTAAATAAATGGACTTTTCACCATTAAACCAAAACTCACAATCATTAACAGTTAATGCAAAGACATACATTTCTGAGGCTAATCACAACATTTAAGCATAATTTTTAGTTGAAAAGAACAACTAAGTATTTAGCTAAATGATATAGTAGAATGGACACAATCTGCTACCTACTAATGATATAAACGTGTACAGGTATCATCGTTGTATCCTGACTTGCCATTTGCAACGGGCACTTTGAAAGACAGCTGCATTTTAGAGAATAAACACCCATAAGGGCGTTACGAAACCAAGCTTAATCCAAAATCTTCATATTCCACTTCGAAGACTCCATTTTCAAAAATAAGAGAGTTTAACATGTCAAATCACTCATTTGAAAAATCTCAAACAACTATTAATCAATGCAATATAATGGCACTGTTGATGCCAAGCTTAGAGCAGCCTGCTTCAATATGTTTAGGTCCGGAGAGCGCTGATTTCTCAAAGCCTTTAACCACCTCCAGCTCCGTGCGAATACCTGAAAAAAAGGTCCCACCGGGGGGGTCCTGGTTGGAACCTCCTCCGACGCTCAAATTAGTAACCTGAAGGGAATAAAATAAATACGATGACGTTAGACCTGGTTCGGTCCCACGGTCGTAATTGAGCGCCGTCGGCTATTTAATGTCGCCCGGTGGAGACTATCCACGATTCCATGGCTTAGTCCGCCAAATTGTGGGTGTGTTGAGTGTTTTGCGGTTTAACACGTTTTGGGAGATCGAGAGGAGAGAGAAAACGTTTTTAGAGAGAGAAATTAGAGAGAGAGTGTATGTGTGAGTTGTGTTGTGTGAAGTAGTCGTAAGCGACTTATGTGGTGGTGTGTGTCTTGTTGTCGTTTAGAAAGGGGGAGGGGTGCTCCCTATTTATAGGAAAAATAGTAGTTGAATTCCTCAACTTACGTTAACATTCACCAACATTCTCCGCTATACTCCTATACTCGTTAATATTCTCCGTTATATCTCAATATTCTCCATCACACACCAACATTCCTTACCCAGTATAGTATATGGGAAAGTTCAAGTATGTATGAGAATGTATGAGAAAGTGTTGGTATGTCATTGAAAATAAAGGAGTGAATGGGAGATGGGAAGAAGTCATGGGGATGAAAGGTATAAATAGTTAGGAAGGAAAGCTTGTACGTATGCATGCATGTGTATGCAAGTGGATGAAAATAAAAGAAAGTTTGGGGAAAGGAGAATGGAAGGGTGTCTGTACCTTTCTCATGTGGACAAAACAAATGGGTGAGAGGGAAAAGGAAGGAAGAATAAGACAAAAACAATGGTTATGGAAAGTAACCGGAAAGAAAGAAACAATAACAAGAGTTGGAGAGTAAAAACAACATAGGAGATTGATGATTTTAACGGTATAATACTAGTTTTCGGGTATTTCGGGTACCGCAATAATTAACAATTTATCGAGTGTATTAATGAAAGGCAGGTGTTTAATATTTTTAAAATTTTATCGGTTAAGAACTGGGTCTATCAATTGCCCCCTTATCGATAGAAAAATTCGGAGTTCGTCCGGACATTTTCTGACGGTAAGTTGGTATTAGACCCAGTCTCAAACGCTGCTCTTATAAATACCGGAGCGGAGGAAACATAATCCATTCTCCATTTCCCAACCTCCTGCTCTCGTACTACTCCTCCCATCTTTTCATTTCTTACAAAGCAAAAACAGTTCACTACCCACAGTAAACTCTTGTTTCAATATTCCTAAAGTAAATTCTCATTTTATCTTTATTAAAAATGGCGAGTTTACCTTCATCATCACGAGATAATCAACATTTAATGATTATACCGCCTTCCACTGTTGTGGGGGCAAGAGTATCGGATGCCAGTGGGTCTCGAAGTATAGCACCTAACCCACTGGGTTTTAATCTCTGCCCTTGAGAGGTGATGTATCCTCTTGGTCGAGTGCATCCGGAGTATCCAGTAGGTGGCATGGGACGCGGTTTTACACAAAGTGAAAAGTGGTTACGTGAACTGTTGGTTTCATATGGTATGCCTCATCACTGGAGTTATGCCATACCCAACAGACTTGTTTTGGCTGTAAGTCACCCATCATCATGGCGATCGTTTTTTCGTTCTTCTCTGGAGTATGGGTTTCGATTGCCACTGCCTACATGGTTGTGTGTAGTAATGCACCGTAGTAAGCTTTCAATCGATTCTGTTAGTCCTCGTTTTTGGACTTTCATCGCTTGTTTTATTCTGTCATGTCGTCGAGTTGGGGTTCCACCATCCCTCGAGTTGTTTTATGCTTGTTTTTTCTTTCGTCATGATCGAGTGGCTTGGGAACTGCACAAACGGAAGTCAGCCAATAACCTGTGCACTTCGCTGAGCCATCTGAAGGGGTCGTGGGAGACGGATTTTTTTTATTTTCTTGCCCCGCCTAGTGAGTTTACCTCCGGAGGTATCACGGTTCCAGCTGACTGGAGTGAAGGAGTTACAGGTGGATTTCAGGATCCCGTAATTGAGGGAGAAATCGCTTTACAACATGATCGGCTTCTCCGGGAGAGACCCATTGATATAAGTACTCCTGGGGCTCGAGCAAGCTTGTTTCTTGCTGTTTATGGTAAAGGTATGTCTTTTTTTTTTACAGTACTTCCCTTTTTGTGACCGTATTTTCTAACTGTAATCCTTCCTTGCAGATTACTCGCACTTTCAGAGGTGTATGAGGAATAGAGAAGTGCCAGCAGTGCCTCACTCGTATGTCGGGGTGTCAATTCGTGAGAGACCAGATAATCCCCTGCGTGGACGGTCGAGAGTTCGTCATGACCAGTCGAAGAGAACTCGTTCCTGGGTGAGAGGATCAGGAGATTCCCCTACTGGGAAGGGTCGCTCTGAGGGGAGAGCCAGGGATGCCAAAGGAAAAACCCCAGTGCGCGGTAGGGGAATCTTGAAGCATCAGGGGGAGTCTTCAAGAGCCAACAAAGGTGGAATTTTGGCTGGTGGTGTCATAACGTATGACAGTTTGTGCGATGCGGGGAAACACTATCCCGTTTTAGAAGATGTAGCCACAGGATCGACTTTTGCTTCTTCTATTTCAAAGGTGCTTTTACGTTCTTCCTTTGTTTGTTGGTCTTCAGCTTGTATATGATACATTGACGTTGTTATTTTGTGAATAGCTGGCGAGGTACGCTGTTGCCATGGAGTGCCGCCTAGCTATGCCAGAGCTTCGGGTTACTGAGGCCCGAGAGGAGGCAACTCGTTCTTTGGACGAAATGAGAATCCAGATGAAGACAAGAGGGGAGCAATTTTCTTCCAAATCTTGTGAATGGGATGCAGACATGGTGGAGGCTCAACAACATATGGAGGCAGCCACACAGGAGCTGCGTACCTCAGAAGCAGCTGAGGCTAGCCTTCGCGAAAAAGTTGAGCAGCTTCACGCCAGTATGCGTGAGGAGAGGCTAATCAGGAGGTCTTTACGGTCGGAGAATACTGGTTTACACTCAGAAAACACCACCCTCCGATCAGAGAATAATACTCTACGTCATCAGTTACAGATGGCGGTTTCGGGAGTGATGGATAATGTCCATCGCCTGGCCAGAAGGGCAATTTATTGTATGTATCCTGCAAGAGATATTGATGACACCCGCCTTCGTCAAGTGGTGGAAGAATGTGCGACTACTTTGGAACCTGAGGAGGTGACATCCCAAAATATGAATGTCATGGAGGAATTCGCTGGTGCTCCTCAGTCCGGGGAAGCAGCAAGTCAAATTTCGAATGTGGAGATTGAGTACCATCGCATCTCACCACTTTTAGATGCTGTTTCTGAATCACCTCCAATGGTTGGCACCCCCGTGCATTCAGACTTTAATATCTCTACGGCAATGTTGTTGGCTGCAACCGAGTTACTCGGCCCGGAGTTTTTTGAGAACTAAAGTTTATGAAATTCCAACTTGAAATAACATTGTAAAATATTATGTAAGATACTCGGTCATGTGTATAGCTTAGCTTATGAACACCTGTAGTAGGTAATGTACAATGGGCTTCCCAACTTTTGTAATAAACACGCTGCTTTTATTGCTAGCTATCTTTCACCCTACCATGATATTTATTTAGGGAACAAATACACTGGGGTGTTTATTAAAAGATAGCAAGGGTATACCATATTTACGGAGTAAAGTATCTCCTTAGATGCATTGTGTTCCAAGTCCTTGACATGTCTTGACCATCAGGGAGTGATAGTTTTACAGTATTTGGTCCCACCACTTAACACACTTTGTAAGGACCCTCCCACTGGGGGGTGAACTTTCCTTGACTTGGAATGTGCTTGAAGTTTCTCCTCAGAACCCACTCCCCTTCCCTAATGGTTCGATTTCTCACCTTGGCGTTGTAGTAACGCGCGATCCTCTCTTTGGAAGCGGTGAGTCGCAAAAGTGCTTCCTCTCGACGCTCCTCGATGAGATGTAGATCATGAGTGAGCTCGATTTGATTTTCATCAGGGTGGAATGCTTGGATTCTGTAAGAGGAGAGCTCCATTTCAATTGGCAACACAGCATCGGTGCCATAAGTTAAGGCGTATGGTGTCTCCCCAGTGGAAGTCTTGTAAGTTGTCCGGTGGGCCCAAAGCACATGGTGTAGCTCCTCGACCCATCGACCCTTGGCCTGGCCTAATCTGGTTTTTAGGCCCCATAGGATGCTTTTGTTAGCAGCCTCAGCCTGACCGTTAGCTTGAGGATAGGCCACCGAGGCATATCAAAGTAAGATTCCATATTGGGCGCAGTAAGCCTGTAAATCTTCGCTCGTGAATTGTGTCCCCTGATCCATAATTAGAGTGTGAGGGAGACTAAACCTGCATAAGATGTTTAGCCATAAAAACTTTTCAACTCTCTGAGTGGATATGCTAGAGATCGCCTCAGCCTCGATCCACTTGGTAAAATAATCAATGGCTACGATCAGCCATTTCTTTCGTCCGGGAGCCGTTGGAAAGGGTCCCAAAAAGTCCATCCCATATTGAGCGAATGGCCATGGCCCGATGTTAACCTGCATTTTTGATGGAGGTGCATGAGTGGTTTGCACGGCCACCTGACATTTGGGGCATGCTTGAGCATACTTTTGAGTGTCCCGCCGCATCGTGGGCCAGTAATAACCTTGTCGTAGAAGGGTTTTTTCCAAGCTACGAGGACCAGCATGCATCCCACATGATCCTTCATGTACCTCCTGTACGGCAAAGTGTGCTTCGCCAAGGCTATGGCACCGCAGGTAAGGTCCAGCGAAGCCTTTCTTGTATAAATCTCCCTCGATTAGGAGGTAACGAGGGGCACGTCTCTTAAGGCGGATGGCTTCCTTCTGGTCAGCGGGCAGGAGCCCATGTTTTAGATACTCGATGAGAGGTGTTCGCCAATCGGATTGTGCTGGAAATGAGGTAACTTGGGCGCATAACATTGTTGGACGCCTTTCAATGATCACATGTCTCTCGTTGAGGAAGTCTTGTGCTGTTGCAAGTTTTGATAATGCGTCTGCATGAAGATTATCCTCACGAGATATGTGGACTATCTCCGCTTGAGGAAACTCAGAGAGTGCCATACGAGCGGCATTGGTGTATGGTACGAGCGCTGGCTCTCGTACCTCGTATGCCCCCTGCACTTGATTGACAACCAGGGCAGAGTCGGAGTGGACCCTAATTCGTTGAATGCCCAATTCTTGAGCCATAATCAGTCCCGCTAGGAGGGCTTCATACTCGGTGGCATTGTTCGTCATGGTGCTGGCAAAGCGAATGGCCAATTCATGAGTGACTCCGAGAGGGCTGATGAGCAAAACTCCTGCTCCTGATCCAGTTTTACTAGATGCACCATCAACGTACAATCTCCAAGTCTCTGTTTCTGGCGGGAGACATGCTCGAACACCTTCTGCAACAAAGTCAGCTAAAACCTGGGACTTGATGGCGGTGCGAGGGAGGAAAGTGATATCGTATTCACTAAGCTCGATGGCCCAGTTCCCCATTCTACCGGCAACATCCATCCGCTGAAGTAGACGACGTAAAGGAAGTTGAGAGAGTATACATATGGGGTGGCTTTGGAAGTACGAACGCAGCTTTCGAGTGGCAACCACCACAGCTAGAGCGGCTTTCTCCACAGGAGAGTATCTTGTTTTAGCATCTAACAGGGTCTTACAAGTGTAGTAAATAGGATGCTCGATATTGTCTGTATCTCGGCGAACGAGTACAGCACTTACGGCCTTGGAGGAGACAGCAAAGTATAAGTACAATGTCTCGTTGTTGACGGGAGATGAGAATATTGGGGGATTCACCAAGTACTCCTTAAGTTCTGTGAAAGCTTTCTCACATTCAGGAGTTCACTAAAAGCTTTTTCCAGCTCCTTTTAAGGTGTTGAAGAAAGGGGCACACCGATCTCCAGCTCGTGAAATGAATCGATTGAGTGCCGCAATCCTTCCTGTTAGAATTTGTACTTCTTTATGCTTTTTAGGTAATGTCATCTGGAGAATCGCTTCAATTTGCCTAGGGTTAACCTCGATTCCACGTCTTGTCACCATGAATCCAAGAAACTTCCCTGCGGTGGCCCCGAAGACGCACTTTTTTGGATTAAGGCGCAAGTTGTATCCTCGTAGGGTATCAAAAGTCTCGCGTAGATCTTCTAAATGTGCATGTGTCTCTGCACTTTTGATTAGGATGTCATCTACATAGGCTTCAACATTTTGACCTAGTTGTCGGGCAAAGACTCGATCCACCATACGTTGATAGGTAGCTCCGGCATTTTTGCGGCCGAACGGCATCACCTTGTAGCAATAATTTCCTACCGGAGTCATGAAGGCAGTATATTTTTGGTCGTCCTTCTTTAGTGGGATCTGGTGGTACCCTGAGAACATATCAAGAAAAGAGAGATGGCGATGACCGGCAGTCGCATCAATAAGCAGATCGATCTTGGGCAAGGGATACGGGTCCTTTGGGCAAGCTTTGTTGAGATCGGTGAAGTCGACACACATTCTCCACTGGCCGTTGGCATTTTTAACCATGACCACATTAGCCAACCATGTTGGGTAGAGAACCTCGCTAATGAAGCCGGCTTGCCCTAGCTTGATTACCTCCTCTGCTATGGCCTGACGACGTTCCCATGCAAAGTTCCTTCTTTTTTGTTGGATGGGCTTGCTACCGGGGATAATCCCTAGTGTATGCTCGGCAACTTTTGAATCAAGACCAGGCATATCCTCAGGTCCTTGAGCAAAGAGCTCTTTGTACTCGATCATCAAACTGAGAAGTTGTGGGAGATAATTTTTAGGCCATGCCATGGATACACGAACGGTTCGCCCTTCTTCTAATGTATGTTCTTCATCAGGGTAAACGGGAACGGGACGAGCGACCTCGTCTTTGGCTTCCATCGTGGCCACAAAGCCATCTTTAAGGGAGAACTCACAACACTATCGTGCAAGAGCTTGATCTCCCTTCACACACCCGACTCCGGCAATAGTTGGGAACTTCAATTTTAAGTGCAAAGTTGAGGGTATAGCCCGAACTTGATGTAGAAAAGGGCGCCTGAGAATGCAGTTGTATGCAGAAGGGCAGTCGATAACATGGAAGTTGATTGTGTTCTCCACGGTTTGTTGGTTATTGCCAATACGAACTTGGAGTGGGAGAATTCCCAGAACTGGGACTTGATTTCCGGAGAAGCCCACGAGGTAAATGCTAGGAGGGTGACATTTGTTTAGTTGCAGACCCATGGACTTGAAAGCTGGGTAGAATAAAAG